ATATTGATATCTTCAACAGTGCATAAAACTCTCTTATACATGTATCCACTTTATTTGATAAAATTAAATTGAAGGCAAATTCTTCATATGGAACATCGAAAGGACTAAGCAACATAGCATTTTCCTGCTATCGAAATAGTATTTTACAGGTATGCTGAAAAATATAAATATTAGATAATATGTTTCCTACATTGCATAAATATACATTAAATCTTAAACTGTTCTTTTTATCTCTTCTGGTCAGAGACCAAAAGAGCTTGTGCATAAGTAAGGTGTTCGTCGTCCGTCCGTCTGTCTCTAGCTACCTGTTTGTCTAAGTAAGGAGTTTATCCTTACCTTGTGGGTTTGAATCCCACTTTGGGGCCTGGAGATCGGTCTTTCAGATAAGACCATATAAATCGAGGTGCCGTGTGGCAGCAGGTGCTGGTTCGAAAAAGATCCCAAGCTGCTCAATGGCCCTAAGTGCCAAGCATAAGTAAAACACTTACATCTCTTCACCGGCAAATGGTGGCATATCCATATGAGTGAAAAAATTCTTGAGAGGGAGGTCAAACAACAAGGGTTGCTACTCCTCCTACAATCTTGGTTTAATTGATACACACGAAAACTACATTAGCATACATATATGTAAATCTATTCTACTGCAAAGTTTCAAGTCCATTTTTTATGACTTTTCTGTACCTTTCTTACATGTTGAAATCAGTAGCGTCTGGATTTACTTGCTGTTTTTTTTTTTTTTTTTTTTTTTTTTGCACGAAAAAAAAAGTTATGTTTCTATAATTACTTTCTAAAACGATATATTTGTAATTTACAGATCCTTTCGGAAACCCCTCGATTTTTCGAATGTTTACTCGACATGTGTAGAAAAAAGGTACCTATTCGATTTTATCCCCTTAAACTGAACAGCAAATTTCACTATCATTTCAATACAAATTCCCGAAGTAATTCAGTCATTTTGTGGATAGATATGATTTTTATCCAGCGATTGTTTTGGTTTTCTACAAAAGAATAAAATATTTTTTAAAAAAACACAATTTAATAGCAGTAAATATAAAACATATCCAACCACAATACGTTTTAAGATTCCATTTATCTAATTCATTTTATTTCATCTATTCAACGCAAAAAAAAAAAAATAAATAAATAAAGTAATAATATAATGTATTTTTTTTTATTTTGTCTTTTTCAGGATGAAAGCTGGATATTTCTTCTGAAAGAAATATTAGTGTGTATACGAAGTCAGACAACTGGCGGCAGAGAGATGCTTGAACTTTTGCGTCATTTTCACCATCTATTCAACATAACGTTAGTATATGTATGCATGTCATATATTATACCTAAGTATATTATATTTTTTTATATTATATCTGAGAAACATGTGTTAATTTGAATGTAGGAAGGAAAATACCTGTGCTTTTAATTATTTTAAAGCAATTCAGGATACAGAGAGTATCAACAGGAGGACACACTTTCCTTTCTGACAACTGTGTTGAATGGAATAAATGATGAATATGAAAAAGAAGGAAAAGGTAAAATTAGGGAATCTCTTGTCCACAATTTAAAAAGAAACAAGGATACTAACGCTTAAAATTATCTTACTACAAATACTTAAAAATAAATCTAAAATTTGAAATTTAATTCGAGGAAAATTATCCTTTCAAGCATTGCAATATGATTCAAGAATCTTTCAATTCCTAGAAATGGTCTTCATACAAGTTGATATTTGAAGCCCATATAACTTTGGGAAAAAAAAACAATTTAAGAACAGATGATACAACAAACTTGTGTCAAAAATTTGAAAATAAAAACTTTTTTATTCAAAGTTTTACAAAAAAGGATTTGATTGAGAAATATTTCTATATATTAATAAGGATGGTTTAAGGGAGGCAGACTTTTGAACATCACGAAAGGTTAAAAAATTTCTTTATATTCTAGAAATTTTTAATTATTGTTATTTGAATCATTTGCAATGACATTATGTCAAAAAAATATATATCGATCCATTTATTCATTTTTTGTTTGTATCATCTGTCCTTTGGAGTAACAGAGTCTTGATAAAAGTATCCTTGGATACAAATGATAATTCACATGATATGAAATTACAGGTTATATGTAATACATTGTATCTGCATGTAAGAAAAATATTATTTATCGTTATACTGTAAAATCGGTTATAACGAAGTCACAGGGACCTTAGAAACCACTTCGCTATATCCTTCATTCGTTATATAGCCTGGGATCAAAAACATCCTCGCTACATCCGTGCTCGCACCAACGCCTTTTTTTGTATATGTATGTCTACGCCATCACTATCAAGGAAAAACTCCAACAATGCAATATTTTGCAAACGTAAACACCATTTAGAAAATTGAAAAGGTGTCAATGTATCGTATCGGGGAAACAAGTCTACAATTTTTTTTCATAATTCTGTGTAAAAAGTTTGGCATTTAAATCAACAAAAGTTGAATTTTCCACATGTTTTACACAAAGTACTGTTTACATTGTATCGAAATAAAACTAAGAACGAAAGTGCCATCTATGTAAAAAATTACATTTTTTTGTCCTAATGTCTCGATAACTATTGTTTTCTTCGCCTTTAAATATGTTAATCAATTTACAATTAGAAATCATTTTATTCGTGTTATCTTAAGATATATTTGAGATTCCATAATTTCTTCTTTAAATATTGTGAACTATAAGGATAAACTCTGAAAATTTATCATGAGTAAATGTACGTAATTGTAGGAATTCAGAGACGTGTTTATTAGCAAACCTTTTGATCGGTTCAGCTTAATGAACAATCATCCCCATTTGTTTTAATGGAGAATCTGCGTCTCCTGGCAACAATAATTTTCGTACACATAACTAGAAACTTTCGTATAAACGAACTGCATGGTTATGTCTTGTCTCTATGTTTATCAGTCGAAACTGTTATTTGTCGCGATGATTGCCATTTAACTTAGAAATCCACGGATCGATGGATCGAAGATACACTGTAAGGTCTTTAAATAGAGAGGATTGTCTATCAGTTCTATTTTTAGAAAAAAGTGGCCAAAGGTCTAGACTACTGGATTAACATCTGAGATTTATGATATTTTAACGACATAAATGTACTATAATATACGTGTTTCAAGTATTACATTGAAGATGATTGGGAATTCGAAACATCAGATCCCTGTGTCAGTTTCCATTAGGTCACACTAAGACTGAAATCGAAATTATAATTATAGTTGATACATGTTTCATTCTTCAGTGACATGTAGTTTTAGGCAAAGCAGCAGTAAACATACTGAAGTCATCTGTTCAAAGGTCACAATCAAAAGCTAGGATTTATTGCTATAAATATCCTACATATCCTTGTATGACTTTATCACAGCTCCTATCATGTTCCAATATGCCTACTTAAAATTATATTGTGCAAAAATGTACTTATATGTCAGCTATTACCATTTTCGTTTCTAGGATACCAACAGATGAAAAATCCACTTAACATATTTAAAGGACGGTTGCTTGACAAATTTTGCTGTAAAGATTGCAAACAGGTATGAGGTTTTTCTGACGTAATTCTTACTACTTCAGATGGTGCATACAATATATACAAGGATTTAAAATAGTTACATACTAATTAAATAGCTAAATTGTTAAAATGTACTTACTAAATAAGTGTTTATAAGTATAATTCATTTTCTACAGGAAGAGAGTTTCAGTGAGAGTGATTTTCTTAGTGTGCCATTACCAAAGGTAAATGACAAAATATGCAGATAATTTTTCTGATATATATTGCAGCATATAATCGCTCTAATTAACACTATTTTGATCATGGTTAATAGGAAGCAAATATTGAACAGAGTTTGTTAGGGTTCCTTGAGGAGGAAGAAATGGATATTTTTCCTTGTTCCAGTTGTGGTAAATATGTCCTTTCGTTTTTTGTTTGTTTTCATTTTGAATTTTTGTGGTTATTTTCTTTAATTTCAGTGGTAGGTAACAGGAGGTTAATATATCACCAGAACGGTCTTTAATTCATTCCATAGAGATAACTTACCTTTTTTAGGTTCAACACGTGTTTGTAAGCGACTAGAAATCAGTAGATATCCAGATGTTCTTGTTTTACAACTGAATAAGTCGGCTTATGTGAGTATGTAATGTATGTAAAAATTATTGTATCATATTTATGTTCTCATTTACTCTTTACATAACAATCATTTTATTACCTTACTCCCTACCCGAAATATCAAGAATAATCAAATAAAAAATCCTCTAAATGCGTTTGGCAAGAAGTTTAATAATTGTAAACATTTCACATGGGATTGACTGCTTTAGGACTTTGTATCACTCATTCATGTAATGAACCTCTATTTTTGCTGTGTTTTCAATCATTACGATGAATAAGGCACATTTGAAGTACAATATTCACCTTAGGTTTTTGGCTCATTCAAACTTACATTCTTGTAGTGGCTAAATCATTGTATTACATGTACCGGTATGTTTGAACAAATTCTTAATGAAGTAAGTTGATCTCTGTAACACTCGATATATTTTTAGTCTACAGGTTTGAGAACAAGTAAGACGGTTTTTCACGAAACACTGAAGGAATCCCTGGATATTGATGTTTTTAAGGTAATGCCTCAAAAGAATAAAATACATCGTTCAATCTTAGTTTAATGCATGGTTATAAAAACTTGATTTATACTTTATACATGTACTTCTTTTCAAATAATTAACTGTGATCAGTGACAATATCTTTTTATAGAAAATCAAGAAAGAAGACATCGACTCCTACAAATTGTATGGAGTTGTTGTTCATCATGGAAGTGATAGCAGTGGACATTATATTTGCTATGTAAGAAGAAGCCACACGTCAATGTTTGATAAATGCGATGACTCCTTTGTTTCTCAAGTTCGGGTGCAGGATGTTTTACAAAGCGACGCCTATTTGCTGTTTTATGAGAAGTGCGACTCTGCAGTTTAAATTTTAATTGTAACTCATTGACTGTGTTACCTTTCTGTTTTATATCTTGTTTTAGGAATGAAAACACCAATTGTTCATTTGCGTTAGTGTATCAGATGTGTTTTTCCCTTTTTTGCCTATTAAGAGAAATACACGGAGAAAACAAAAAAAAAAAAAAAACGAGAAAAAAGTTAAGGAAACTTCAAATATTAGCAGTCATTCTTTTAAGATCTTAATAAAAATCTTAAGTCATAAAAATGCGCATATATTTCTGAATAATAAACAACATAGAACAAGCATTTTTTTAATGGAATTCTGTATTTCAATGATAATGATTTTATTACAGAATTCATTCTTGTTTAAAATCAGAACGTGAAAGCATTAATCTCTGAGAGCATGTAAGCATAACTTGTGTTACTAAGTTTATCACTTTTTGAAAATAAAAAAGGAAAATATTTATCAATTTCTGTAGGAAGCATTGTTACTTCAACGCTTATTTCTACTTAAAATATTTTGTCCTGTATTGCTCAAACATATATATATTAACCGAATATTCCAATATTCATGTTCATACTATACATATTAAGAATACTGTAAACAAGTTATTATTCAAGTGCGAGACATATTCGCGATATAAGCATGCCTCGTCGAATATTTCTCGCTGCAAACCGGTCCTTAAAATCTCTGTGTCTAAAAACAGATCCAAAAAGGATTGATCTCAAAAATCAATCGTCTCAAACTAGTTTACCCCAAAATCGTTAAACAAAGTCGCGAATACAAGTTCCTTTATGGTATACTACATCTAGAATAAAATAGTTTATATAAAGGTTTATCATCAATTGCGAACAATAATTCGTTGTGTATGCTTTTATCTTTTATTTGAGCCAAGTGGACTTTTTTTTCTCACATTTTGACCGACATCCGTCTTTCTGTATTGCTGTCTATCCGTATGTATTCTCAATAACCTGACTAGGCAAAACGAAGGGCTACACTTCTACATCCAAATATTGTTATAAACAAAAATGTCATTTACACATCAATCATCTTTAATTCGGTCGTTTATTATGGAAAATATATATAGCAATATTATGCAACTGCACCATGTAATTTTAGCTTTATTCATTCCATTTGGAATAAAAATATACCGAATTAAATTTGAAAAATTCATTTGCATTAGAAAATCAAACCTGCTAATGATGATATAAAATTTATAAGCACCGTTTTTTTCTGAAATCTAAAACTATCAAAACCAGCCTTTTCGTTTAAATATTGAAAAGGAGAACAAATTTAAACCCTTTAAAATCGGAATTCAAAATAAAATAAATGTGATTATATTAATATGAGATTCACTGCTCCATTAAAATGTTCCATAAAAACAATAGACTCGTGTTTAAAGATTTTTTACAATTTATAAAATAGCAGATAGGCATCACTAGACCCCAAAGCTTCGGACAAACTCGAACTTCGTACTTGACTGTCATTACAACTGTACCAGTGGCCTCCGTCAAGATTCGATAGATGTTTCACATATGCCGTATAGTGGCCACCGTATGTTGAGCCATGGTGATTAACAACTCCATATAGATGATATATTGCAGGCCTTCCACTCTGAAATTAAGAAAAGGTCAACCTACTGTCCATCAAATTGAATTCTTGTGCTTGACCTTTTAAGATTTTGAAAACTTTCTACTACTATGTATTTGTGCAAAGTCTGCTACAACTTGTCCCCTTGGATAAACTGAATTACAAAGGCTGTTCAATAAATAATGTCCACGGTGCCCGGAAAGAAACAAAAAGCGCTTTTAAATGATTTACCCTTAATGATTTCACTTAAATACTCTCTTTTAAATAAAACACATGTTCGCTGCATTTTTATCCAATTAATGATTGTTTTTAGAAAACATTTTTGAGAATGGCTCTTCGTATACTGGAATGTGGCAGATCCTATGATTTCCTGACCTTGTTCCGTCGTTCTTAATTTTTTTTTTAAGTTTGGAAAATGAAACAAATCAAATGATGAAAGATCTGGCGAATATTGTTGATGTGACAAAACATTACATTTTGTTTATCCCTAAAAATCCTTTACTCTTTATAATGTGTGGATTTGGACGCTGTAAAAAAATGTCGTGAATTCTTGAATCTAGTTCAATCCTCTCATAAACCTTCCGAATTTTTGCGAAAGAATTGCTATTTAGACTTCTGCAGATATTGAACTGCCTCCCGAATAAGAATGTGAACAAAGAGATTACTAATTTTTAAGGAAATGGCATATAAAAATGTTTTGCGCTTTTGCAATTCTTTGCTCTTCTCAGACCTTGGCTGATTTTGTCAAGTGCATCTTATTGTCAATTTTATATGAAGGTTTAAAGCATTGGATTCAAGTTTCACTATCTGTTTGAATTTCAAACAAATATCTACATTTTTTTTTTTGGATGATTACAATTTTTTTAAAAAATTATAACAGTACATTGATTGTGGTATGTCTTTGTCGCTAATGACAGTACCCATTTTTAATGCCCATTATATCATATGTATTTATTGAAATCCACTTGCTGATGTTTCCATAAAACAAACATTGGTTACTGAAAATTTCACATATTTCAGTATATATTTCTTTGGATCTTTAACGAGTTTAACAGCAGCTTTCAAGAAGCGTTTATTTTCACTCTACTTTACTGATTCTTTACCATTCCTTTATGATGCATTGTCTCGAATAGCCCTTATTTTTCAGCTTCTCACAATGAAACTATGTGGAGAAAAGTGGTCACATAAACTGTAATCAATTCAGTAAAGATTCAATCATGGGAGAAAGTCAAGATTAATGTCATATGATTTCTATTTTGTATGCTATAGAGGCCAGGGTATTATTTATTGAACAACCCTCGTACATGTCACTAGTTTCATCAATAGATAATGAATGATAGGTATTGTAGTTTTGTATTTGTTTATCATATTTGTTTAAGATTCTGTTTTCCATTCAGCAAATTTGCTATTTATTTATAATTTCACTCGTGACTATCTGTAAGAATTTGTATTACTATACCAATTGTGGAACTCTAAGATCTTTACTAAATCCAATTCTTTTATAGGACTTGGCAATATGGAGGTTGTTTCCATAACTCATCTGTAAAATTTAACAAGTTAAATTGCAGTACAATAGCAGATATGAAATATCTAATTGTTTTTAAAAAGAGAAGAATATAAAAAAATATTCTTTTAAAAAATCAAACCTCTTGAAAGCATCCTAGTTGAAGAACGATGACACGTGGCAGATGACGAAACTTCATAGCCTTTCTCGTTTTACCATACCCTAAAAAATTAATCGTAAATTAATTTTTTCTATCAATTTCTGTTAATTTCTCTATAACATTTGGATTTACCTATCAAATTGCAATCCCTGCAAGGAACTTCAGATTCATCAAAAACCTCCTCGTACATCAAATCTAACAACCCGTCTTCAACCCTCTGAAATATTCGGAAAATTATCTTATTCGTTAGCTAAATAAACATGATATGTATACATACATGTATATACCAGGTATAGTGCCTTATCAAGATTTGAAAGCAATTTGAAATCCTTAACTTATTTTGATATTGATTTTTTGATCAGTTTTAAATACAGGAGTCTTTATACATTAAATGTCCATATATTTACCTTAATTGCAAAAGTATGTTAGAATGAAGGAACATGAAACATTCTAAATGAACAAAAAAAACCCTTAATATCAAAGATGTATCTAACAAAGAAATTAAATAATCACATGAATTAAATTCCACCCGGAAATACGATAAATTATTATTTCTTTTATATATGTAATGGTATAAACAAATATTGTGTACTTTATATGCCATACATATACACATGTATAAGTGAAATGCAAAAATATGGTGATTTCAAAGGCCGTGTTATATGTTTGTTACATTTGGACGACTGATTTACACTTACGGGAGATCCAGAAGGTATAGTCAGGCTTCTCATGATCTGCGTGTCAGTCACGTCTCTCTACAAGCAACAGCTATTTTATGTCATCATTTTCGTCTCGAATTTAACATTTTGATAAAAATATCTTATGAGCTTAGCAAATATTATAAACTTGCAAATTGTGCAGTTTCAAATTATTACATGTACTCCTGATCATTGTGTTATCGATCAATATAAATAGATATTATAAATATAATATTTTCCACATCTTGTATCAGCCGGAGACTCAAAATATCTGCCAGAAGACAAAAAGCCCGAGGGCTGATATACTATATATAGATTGCACGCTGATACAGAAAGTGATGTGGAAATGGAATATTTATTACATACTTTATAAATAAAAAATACCACGCATCAGTTTGACAAAAATACAGATAATAAATAATGCACTGACATGAAACTTATTATATCAAAAAACAAAGATTTAAAATTCATAGATGCATTCCTTATTAAATGTACAATGAATAAAATCATAATTTAATAATCAATATTTTGAATATACATACGTGTGTACAGGAGTCAAATGTAAACTCGTCAACCATTTCCATTTCAAATATTCGTGCCAGATCTAAAACAAAAGTTAAAAAATTATTTCATTCTTTTAATTCTAATATGACGTTTGGTCTTTAATATTTTAAATATTTATAAGGGAATACGTACACGTATACGCATTGTGTATCTTCAAAAGGGGTAGAAGTTGCTTTCGTGAGGAATTAATTGCCCACGAGGAAGAAATTTACGTTCTTTTTAGTACGTACCATCACAATCGAGTTTACAATTTGTTAATATATTCCAAATCACAAAACAAGTTTCCTATTGAACAAATTTCACTGCTGAAAGGATTTGTATTCCACAAAATTCAATCAATAGGAAAAGCCAAAAAAAAACCCGATTTCATTCTGCAATGTGACGAATTTTAACACTGTTCTACCTTTTGATAGCAAAAATGTATTTAGCAGTAAATTAATTATTTTGTCAAAGATACCACGAAAGTAAATCACGTGTCTTCAAAGTGTTTAACATACATTTATGTTTATTCAAAATGTAAAACGTATTGCTAAAGTATATCAACGTTTAGTGATAGGTATAGGTTTCATATGATTTTTCTACAATTAACTTAAAAATTAAAATTCTTTTTTCTGTATTGTCTTTTTTCTTTTATCCAAAAAACATTTTAAGGACGGGTGATAAACACATTTTTTTTTTCTTTAGGGTACACTTGATATCATCTTACAAGCTTAGCTTAGAAAAGTGGATAATTCTTTGATTTTTTTTCCCTAAGTCTTTGAAAATGAAATAGATTTGGAAAATATTATGAATGTCCTTAAGTCCTTTATTTTGTAGGGACGTTCTCAAGTTTGCCTCTCAACAGTTATCAATTATTATACCTTTTCCTGGGTTTTCATCATGTAGTTCGCTTAATAGTGTGAGGAAGAAGGAATGACAATCGTTCTGGTACCCGATGCTGAATTCTCTATCTCTTGAAACAAAACAGATGGAATTAAAAGTGCAATTTAAGACTTTATAAATAATCATAATTCATCTTATTTGAAATCTTACTATTTTCGTGTATTCAGTGAGTATAAAATACCTTTTAGAAACCATGTCCATAAATGCTGCTATTGTAAATGACTTTGGGCTTTGGTTGGACGAATTCATTGAACGTAAAAGGTTACAGAATGTATTTGTGACATGAGATTTCTGAAAAGAAGAAGATGGACAAAAAGCAATGTAAATGTTTGTTATCATCAATATATAGAAATACAACCAGATGCAAAATTTTACATTCTTAATACTAAAAAAAATGATTCCGTGTTTGTTTTTTTTCTTTCTTACGAATTTTTCAATCATGAAGAGTCACAACTTGCTTGTGGAGATTTTTTCCTATGCTCGACACTTCGGGCCATTGAGCAATACGCAACACCTACTGCGAAACGGGACCTTAAATTGTTTGGTCTCACCTGAAGACCCACAGTGGGATTCGAACTCGCGACGTTTGGATCAGCAACTTACAACACGACTATAAAGCAGACGCGTTAACCACTGAGTCACAAGGGCGACTGACAAGAGTGACATTAAGTCATGATATAATCAGTTTAAAAATATGGTTGAAGTTAAATGTTAATAAATTGACTGTATATATAATAGGGATAAAATTTACAATATGGTCAGATAAAGCCAGTGACATCTTTTAGATTTAGACAAAACTTTATATTGTCAAAAGGTAGGGACACATTGATATATAACAAAACAAGGACAATCATATATGTAAATGGTTTTCTGAATAAATTATTTGATTGTTTCCGAAAGCTGAATCCATGAATTATCTATTAAAACTGATACTGTGTACATTTGAATCAAGGCAGTAAATAATTGATTTAAAAAAGATTATTTAGAAACAAAACATTACAACTCATATTCTTGCTGTTTTGTAACCAATTTGTATTTATGCACATTTCCAATATTATAATAATTGGTTTTAACGATGGTGGAGAACTGTGGTATTTAGTCGTGTAAAGTGCTTATACTTTAAACAAGATGGACAATCACAAATTTCTGCCACGCTTTGCACACGATAAAAATGTTTATTTCTACTTATGGGTTAATTTTTTTTTAATTCTATGGTTTAATTAGTGTATATATCTGCATAAATACACTAAAGTGTGTTGTGTAAATGGATTGGTTAATTGATTGTATGTTGTTTAACATTCTTCTCGAGAATGTTTCACTCATATGGAGGCAACCCCACTTGCTGGTGGAGAACCTGTCCTCGGCACTCAGAGCAGGGAGGGATCTTTTTCGTGCCAGCACCTACATTGTGCTGCAACATGGTGCCTTGGTTTATACGGCCTCATCCGAAGGACCGGTTTCCACGTCCCACATTGGGATTTGAATCCGCGTCGTAAGGACTGACCCCTTTATCCGTGACTCAAGAGCAGACGCTGCACCAAGCAGACGACTGTAAATGCTTGGGAATTACAAGGTGAAGATTTCAAAACGTAATTTCATATTTCAAGTCTGTTGTTATAAAATAAGTAAACATTCAGTCTTTAAATCAGATACTAGATTTAAAATACAATCCAACTTTTCGTATGTAAAATATATCTCTATTTCATGCTAAAGATATCAAATAGATGTCTTGTTGTGAAGACGAGTTTAGCAATCTTTGACATAAAGTTGAAGTGTATTGAAGTTTAAATGTATGTATGTTGTACCATAAACTCTATTTTCAATGTATCCCCAAAAAACAAGCTATTTACCTTCATATTATACACAGGTGAACTATTCTCAGCACATAGTAATACTACCTCGAATAAATCTGGAGTCTCACTCAGTATCTGAAATCACAGAAATATTTATGCGTTTCCACAACTTTGTTTTCTTTCCTTTGCATAAACTTTGCAAAATATCACATAAGAAATAAATAAACAAATGAATAAAATAATCAATCAATAAAAACTCAATAAAGAAACTATTAAAATGTTGCAAATATGCTTACCTGTAGGAGGGAATTAGCATAGCATGTGTTTCCAATGTTTGGCAAACCCTTTCAAAAGAAATAATTCTTTTGATTTCAATGATACAGAGAATATATTGATTATTATGCTCTACAAATTAAGATATAGGTGATTTTCATTGTTATCATCTTTATGACCCTATCTACAATTTTCCATGACCTTTCCCATATTTCAGACTTTATTTGATTAAAGGACAATGAATATAATTTTTTTTTCTTGTCAGTATGTCCTATATATCTTTCGAGACTGAAGACCAAATAAAATTTTTAAAATATCCGAGTGACCTAAATAAGATAAACAACTTTTCGCAGTTTCTTAAAACTGAGCGCATTTTATTTTCTTAACATATCTCTCGCCAAACTTTGATAAAGCATACATACTTGTGGTGTTTTTCTTCATTTCATTTTTCCCTTTGTGTTTGAAATTACAGGTTGTTCCTGTAAGATTAATGCATTTCCTTAGAAATACAATAAAAAATTTAGCTATTATAAATATGCGACAACTTAAGTAACTTAAAATTATCAAATCTTCCTTTAAAGCTTCTCGACAAAATCGTTTATAATACACTTATTTTTACATATATTATTGAAGAATGCAAAACTTCTATTTACCTTTGTAAGAGTTTTGGGTTTCTCAAACTCTTTACAATCTATGGAAATTCTATCGTGCTGCAAGTTATTACTAAAATTGGATATTGTGCCTCTATTAACTCTGTCAATAAAGGGACTGGTATGATATGCACGTGCCTAAAAGACGAAATAGAGAAGTGATTTTTTTTTTCATGTAAAAGGATGGATTGGAAATGCATTGAATTGCATTTAATTTCTTCAATTTAAAAAGCAGCTTCATGTAGAAATAAGGTTCAAATAATATTTTAATTTCATATATGTCGACTTATATTGTTTTTGTTCATATTTCATTTCTTCTTTCGTGAAATCGTGATAATCATCTTTATAAACGTGTCATTTGTTAAGAATAAGAAACACATACATAGGTTGTCTCTTCTTTTGTGTTTTGTCCCTCTACTTGTGTCTGAATTTCTTGATAATCTGTTTTATCTTCTTTCTTAATGGAGCTTTTTTCATAGTTTTGACTTCTATTATTGACCCACTTTTCGTTTGAAAAACTTACTATTAGACATTGATGAAATTTAAGCGTTTATTTTTCATATTTTAAAAAGGTTAAGAATTTAGTAAACAACAGGTCAAAATTAAAAGTCAATTTACTGGTAAAATATAACATTACCTGTCGACTGTATGTCCTGAAATCCAAGTCAGTACTGTATACATTTGGAAGAAACGAACTACGCTCTTGACCTGGCTTCTCTGTATCTTGCTTCCCGTTTGATATTTTTGTTGTAAGTTCCTAAACAAAATCGTAGTTACAAGATCAAAAGGTTTTATTTATTTCAATTTCCAATGTATACGCAAGTTTATTCTAAATATAATGTTGAATCAAAAATACATACTTGGGCATTGTTTATATCATTCTTGGCATGGATTGAATAGCCAGTTCCATTTCTTCGTAAAAGATTTGCACATTTATTTCCATGATTGATGCCTGTCTACAACAATATGCACGCGTATATATCCTAAAAGAACGGTTATTCATATATATACTTATTCGTTTTTAGGAACAAAAGCAATTGATGGTCTTATTTACCTTTAGGGTTGTGTCAATATCTTAAAATAAAACAAAAACATCCGTAAAAACCATCATTAATTTAAAGCAATTTTGATGTACGACACTTACTTACATTATTTGAAGCATACATTATCAAAAAAAAAAGAATTTCATTTTTTTTTCTCTCCAGCATTTTAAAAATAAATACAAAAATTAGCTTCCTACCATTTATATTTAACCTTTCAAACTGTTGATTAATCTGTAAACGTCGAGAGTATTTCGGAGGTCTGGAGATGATTCTAAAAGTTTAATCTTAATGACACCTTTAACATTAATTTAAAACAATACATTGGTTATAGACTTAAATTTCTCAAACTCAATTGAACATCATTGCTTGATCTTACGCTTGACATGAAATCTTTAACTTGTGTTTTAAAAAATAAATAACAATATGTAATATTATAAAACAGATTCATCGTCAAAATTTATTACTTTAGGAAATGA